AGGTCGTGGCTAAACTGTTCAATGATCTTGACAAAAATATTGTACTAACGTCTTTCGATTCTGATTACTGGCGTATTTGCGCAGAGTTGGAAGAATATTGTAAGCATCCTTTGAACAAAGCGAAGGCAACTTTTTTAATTTATTGTAGTAAATATGGAAAGGCAACTTTGAGACGTGATTATTGTAGTACACCATGGCAAATGGCTACTTCCATTGCTGCAATTATATTGCTTATTCTTACTGTTATTCAAACAGTATGTGCTAAGTGTTGCAGGTTTAATGCTTGTTTAGTTTAGACGTGATTATTATGAATTTTATTTGCCTAATGCTGGTGCTTGTTGACAAGAGAGCTAAAGTTCATTCTTGGAGCCGTTGATTAAATGCACGTGTTTATTTATCTGTTATCTGTTATAAGTTAGTTCCTTATATTATGGAATGTAGTTAGAATTAGTTTTTCAGTTGAGTAGTAGTTTTTCCTTCTTAGAGCTTATTTCTCTCTGTATATATATATATCAATTGTACTATTCAGTTTTAGAGTGAATATTCATTTTGTCCATTATGATGAGTTCATTGGTTTACAATATGGTATCAGAACTCCGAAGAGAGTTCTGGTATCACAGCCATTATTTTCTTTCGTTTCTTGAAACTTTTCTTGCTTGAATATTTTTTCGTTTTCCTTGAAGCTTTGTTGTTTGTTGTCAATGGCGAACCAGAATCCTCTTCCAGATTACTTGATGAATCCATCAAACTCGTTGTATCTTCATCCGATTTTGAGAACCCGTCCACAGCCCTTGTTACTCCACCTCTGAATGGACGCAACTTCCACACTTGGTTGCGTGCCACGAAGATGGTCTTACTCTCAAAGAACAAGTTGTGCTTTGTGGATGGAAGCTTTATAATTCCAGAAGATCTAGATCCTCTTTATCCTGCGTGGGAACGATGTAATACCATGGTATTATCATGGATACATCGCTCAATTGATGAATCTATCTCCAAGTCGATTCTGTGGATCGAGAAAGCTTCTGATGTTTGGCGTGATTTGCTTGAACGCTTTTCGCAATCTGATGTATTCAGAATTGTGGATTTGCAAGAAGAGATCCATCGGCTGCATCAAGGAGAAAGATCAGTGAGTGATTACTACACTGAAATGAAAACGTTATGGGATGAACTGGATACTCTTAATCCACTCCTAAGGTGCTAGTGCGGTGCTCTCGATGAGATGAAGAGAACCAAAGAACATGATCAAGTCATCAGGTTTTTGAAAGGCCTAAATGATCAATTCTCCACTGTTCGCTCGCAAATTATGATGTTGGAGCCTCTTCCAAACATGAATAAAGCTTTTTCCCTTGTTGCACAGCAGGAACGCCAACTGAATTGTGAACTCTATGGTGGAAATTCCATGCAACCAAAGGTGTTTGTTGCAGATCAGTATCAAGGTCGAAACTTGAACTCTAACAGGTTCAAAGGTACAAAACCAAAGGGAACTAAGTTACACACTTACTGTGGAAGGATGAATCACACAGTTGACACATGCTATACAAAGCATGGCTATCCACCGGGTTTCAAATGCAGTGTTGAGTAACGATGATGGCATAATGAACAATGGAGGTTCTGGACAAACTGACACAGTGGTTTTGTCTCAAGAACAATACCAAAACATGCTGGAGATGATTCAGCAAACGAAAATGCAAAATGCAGAGTAAAATGGAAGCAAACATGATGTAAACATGACATGCACAAAATCATTAGCAACTGTTTCTGCCACTGCACCTCAGGGATTTGGTAAGGAATTTCTTAACTGGATTCTTGATATGGGAGCAACTGATCATATTTCTTATGCATCTTCGCATTTTGTTTTCTTGCATAAGATCAAACTTGCCTCCATAGCTTTACCTAATGGCACTAAGGTTATGGCACATTACTTAGGGACTGTTCATCTGTTGCCAAATCTAATACTCACTGATGTGCTTTATATTCCATAATTTTATGTTACCTTGATATCAGTGGTGAAATTGTTGCAATCTCTTGATTGTGAGCTTAATTTTCGTATCTTTATGTGATATATTAAGCAGATCAAGTCCTCACAAGTAATTGGTTATGCTAAGCTGTCTAATGGCCTCTTCTTATTGGAGTTAAAGCATGAAGTAAAGATGGACATGAAGTCTGCTGATCTTAATGAATTTTCTGCTATTAAAATTCTTGATTCTGCTGAAGTTTCTACTGTTAGGCATACCAATAATTTGTTCACTGATGTATCTATCTTATGGCATTAGCATTTAGGACATGTCTCGGATACTGTAATGAAAGCAATGTGTAATAAATTCCCCTTTCTCAGCTTTAATAACACTACTCCCTATGATGTGTGCCATATGGCTAAACAAAAAAGGTTATCATATGAGCTGAGCACTAGTAAATCTTCTAAGGTGTTTGATCTTATTCATGTTGATATATGAGGACCATTCTCTACCACTTCAATAACTGGCCATAGATATTTCTTAACCATAGTGGATAACTTCTCTAGATTTACGTGGATTCTCTTGATGCATGATAAAAGTGAAACTAGAGTTCATTTGCCCAACTTCATCATAATGGTTGAAAACCAATTTGCTGCATTTATCAAAGTGATCAAGAGTGACAATGGGGCTGAATTTTTAATGAATGAATTTTACTCTAATAAGGGGATCATTCACCAAACTTCTTGTTTTGAGTGCCCTCAGCAAAATGGAATTGTAGAAAGAAAACACCAACATCTTCTCAACATAGCTAGAGCATTGATGTTCCAAGCAAAGTTGCCTCTTAGTTTCTGGTCCTTTCTGTTTTGCATGCAATTCATATACACAATCAACTCAGTAGTCATAATTTGAAGAACAACACTCCTTATAAGCTACTGCATTATGCACCACCTATTTTCATTGATTTAAAAGTCTTTAGGTGTCTTTGCTTCGCCAGCACGCTTAGTTCTCATTGCCAGAAATTTAATTCAAGGGCCAGAAAATGTGTGTTTTTTGGTGTATAAGGCTGGGACAAAATGCTGTGTGTTGTATGATCTTCTAAACTCTCATGAGATATTTGTGTCATGTAATGTGATATTTTATGAGGAAAATTTCCCCATTTGCTGTATCTGAGAGAGCAGTTGACCTACTAAAGCTTGTGCAAAGTGCTATTGATGACACACATGTGATACTTAGTTCCCCTAAACAATTGCAAGATGATCCTTTCATACTTACCAATCACAATTAGCCTAGACCTACCCTCTGTCCCACTCCCATACTTCCTTCCCAATTTAATAATAGTTCTGCTGCATTGGAACCACAACCTCCACCTCTGCCCACTCTTATACCTACACATCAGCCTCGTCGTTCCAATAGATTATAGAAACCCCCAGCTCATCTCAAAGACTTCCATTGCACTCTATCTACGCAAAGCCAATACCCTTTGTCCTACATTTTATCCTATGATAAATGTTCCCCTTCCCATCAAGCTTTATGTCTTGCCTTAAACACCACCAAGGAACCACAACATTACTCGGAGGCAGTGAAACACCAGTGATAGCGCGATGCAATGGATGCGGAGATTCTAGCTTTGGAACAACATAATACAAGGATCTTGACTGATCTACCACCAGGTAAACACCCTATTGGGTGCAAATGGGTGTTCAAGGTGAAACATCATGCTGATGGTAGTGTGGAACGATACAAAGCACGCTTAGTTGCAAAAGGTTACACACAGCTCGAAGAAGTTGATTTTCTTGACAAATTTTCTCCCGTGGCCAAGATAACAACCATTCGTACTCTTCTTGCTATTGCAACTACAAAAGGCTGGATGATGGAGCAATTGGACATCAATAATGCTTTTCTTCAAGGAGATTTAAATGAAGATGTGTACATGGTGTTGCCACATGGGATCAAATGTTCGAAACCAGCTCAAGTTTGTCGTTTGCAAAAATCCTTACTTGTATTCACCCTTGAAGTATCGCGTGAAGTGTGAGAGTGATATTGATAAGAATCTTGGAATGCACCACCTTAAAAGCTAGCTCGAAGGGTGAGAGTGTCCAAGGCCTTATAAACCCTACATTAGTTACCCATACAACCAATGTGGGACTCCAAGTCTCATACCTTGCAAATGGGTCCTAACATTCCACCACGCTCCGCAACCTCGTCGCCCACTCGGGATGGCTTAGCGCTAGTCTTTTTACTAGCCCTGGGCGAACACTACAATGCCAGCGTCACCAGTCGTGCCGCTCGATTGCAATTGGGAGACATAGTGGAAGGCTCTGATACCATTTGATAAGAACATTGGGATCCATCACCCCAAAGCTAGTTCAAAGAGTGGGAGTGTCCAAGACCTTATAAACTCCACATTTATTGCCCATAAAACCAATGTGGGAGTCCAAGTCTCATACCTTGCAAATGGGTCCTAATATTAAATGTTACGATCCAATTGCAAGGTATGAGACTTAAGTCCCACATTAGTTATATGGGTAACTAATGTGGAGTTTATATGGACTTTGAGCTCTCTTACCTTTTGAGCTAGCTTTTGAGATGAAATTCTCCAAAGGTTCGTATCAATTGGTATCAAAGCCTTCCATTATGTCTCTCAGCTGCAATCGAGCGACGCGACTGGCATTGCAGTATTCGCCTAGGGCTAGTAAAAGACTAACGCAAAGCCAGCCCGCGTGGACGCCGGGGCTGTTCTTCATTGGTTATATGAGTGACTAATATGGGGTTTATATGGACTTTGGACTCTCCTACCTCTTAGCTAGCTTTTGGGGTGAAGTTCTCCCAAGGTTCGTATCAGATATGCAAATAAGATCACTCATACTGACTGCACAAAGCAGAGGAAAATTTCCTTGGTTTAGTCTCATTTATTAAGCAATGCCATATGTAACATCAGTTTGATTTAGTCTTTTATAGTTCACATGTTTCAGCATCTGGGTTCCTGCAGGCTAGATCCCCTTCTTCAGATGAGGGTGAGAAATAAACAAAAGGAAAAAAGCCATAAAAAGATACCTCATATTACCTTCTGAAGATGCTATAAAGTCATCAGAATAACAAGTTACGTAAATCTTCATACAAGCAATATATACAACAGCCATTTTCAAAAGTATATACATCTACCTCCTCTGTTAGTGATCTGGCTAAAGCATAAGCATGGAAAAGTACTGCTCAAATTCTTGATCAATTGTTGGTGTCCTAGTGCTTGATTGAGCCTCTGCATCCAAAACATTAGTACATGTCAACCTAGAAATTATGAATTAAAATTTCGGATCAAATACACGTATTTATGGCAACTAATGATTTCATTTGAATGCTATATGATCCTATCATCATGGATAGTAACCGTCATGAATGACGTATACCTTGGTTTACGTCCCATCTTCCAGATGAAAGAACATACATGTTAGGATTTTCCCCTTTAGAATAAAGAATGTCCTCAAAATCCTTATCCATGGACTCCTCAAAGCTGTCTTTAGCATATTCTGAGTCCATGTGATCTGTACGGCTACCTAAACCCAGAAAGTGCTCCTCAAGTTTCTTCAAAGAACGTAAATCAGTATAATGATAAGATGGATTCAATTCATTGTCAACAAATGCATCTTCTTCACTAGAGCATACCTTCTCAACTGCTGACACGTCAAAAGAGCAGTGGTTATCCTTAACATTATAGCCATCCCAATCAACAAAAGAAGTGAAAGACCTCCCATTTGTCTTTGCAGAATCAGCCTCAAGTTTGCCTTCTTCATTTACAGACATGGCAGTATTTGAATCTTCAGCAAAACTATTGCTATCTTTGGCAGATTCACGTTCTGAACTATCCCCAAGTAGTGTTGCATCTGTTCTGCCCTTAACAACATAAATGTGCATGCTCTCTAACACTGGATTTTCATCAAACATTAAAGCATGTTCGGTAGACGAATTCCCAACCCAGCATTTATGCTTTGGTCTAAGCAAATCCATTTGATCACTCTGTGATTTTCTTTTCTTGTTCCATTCAACAATTTCGGTCTTGTGCATTCCATCGGCAAGGAATCTGAAACAAATACTTGACAAATGTTATATGCCAATGGAAAAGACAAAAAAAGAACAATAAGAGGCAAAAAAACTGGGAAACATTCACAAATAACATAAAAGAAAGACATCATTAGATCTTAAACATGAAGAAACATGATTATTCAGCACACTAGTTGCTCAGTTTGATCCCTGTAGGATAATTTCCTTATCTACAAAATTCCCCTAGCTAAAGTCAATTATTAAGAGTGTGCAGTGACATATTAGGTTGAAAATCCCATTGGCTTCTTCTGAAACTTAGAATGTATTAATTACGACTAGAAGTTACAATTTTCAACAGAAACATAATATACTGATTTTGCATACGTAGGAGATGTCTTGAAACCTGATGACATGTCAGATAATATTCATACAGTTATATATCACACTCAAGTTGTGTATGTAAAATATAGTAAGGGTTAAATTTTCTTAAGTGTCACCAATCTACTTTGTGTAACAAGGAAAAAGCTCACAGAATTGTGAGCACAATGGAACAGGACTGAGAATAATTAACATATAAGGCACGAATATAATCTGAGTTGACAAAGAAATCAGATGCCATTGAACTGTTTTACATATGTTCAGGCCACTCCAATGACGCAAAAACATCCATGATGAACAGTAAAGAGTTGCAAAAAGAACCATATGCATGAAATTTATAACATCCATGATGAACAGTAAAGAGTTGCAAAAAGAACCATATGCATGAAATTTATACGCAATTGGCAAGATTACTATTCTATGTAGCTGCTTTTAACATGGTTCCAAACCAACAAATTGCGTAACTCTTGAATCAAAACAAAAATCTTTTGTAATTATCTTCATGAAACGGTGCTAAAATCTAAGACAATCTGGATAGAGAAAATGCAAGAAAACACAATTAAGAGCGGAAGAAACTATTTGTGTATCAAATTTAATATTTTCCATAAAACAAACACACAAATTATGTCTAGTTTAAAACCTCCCAAAAAATTCTCAACAAACAAACAACCTCACAGAGAAAAGTGCTTTTTGTTTTCCCAAATCTTCAACAATATCCTTACTTTATTTGTATACTTTACATGGTTGAAGACTTGAAGTGTTCACAGAATAGACACAAAAACACCATAACACCATGGAGTTAGAAACATCAGATTCAAAAGCAGTAAATCCCATATATCATGCCACAATATCACTCTCCAAATATGCAGATATATGTCACTGTTTTATGCTTTACTGAGATGTACAAATTAAACCATTCTTATATATTTAGTTTATTTAACAAAGCCAAATCCCATACTTTTGAAGTAAATTTTTAAGACTTGACTACTGATAAAGCATATAGGTGTTAAGACACACAGTAATAATATCAAATCAATGACATGAAAAGCAGAAAAGTTGGAAGACCCAGAGAGCCAAACCTGTTTAATTGAGATGGGTTCTGAATATCTGCGTCCATCTCGATCTGGATATCAAAGAGAGTCTTCACAGCTCACAAAAGAAAACAAGAGTGTGAGAGAGCGAGAGAGAGAGAGAAGAATTTCAATGCGCACGATATCAGAGAATAGAACATCCACACTTTTTTTCTTATTTTTGTCCTTTTCCTATTATCCATACTTTTTAACTGTGAGTTATGGAGCGACGTGGGGGCTCGCGCAGATCACGAAGTTTACACCTGATCACTAAATGGAGCAAAAGTGTTAAATAAAAAGAAAACTCAAGTTAATTTATTTATTTTATGAAAAAATATTTATCTTTTTAAAGAATGATTAGTTAAAAAAAAATTAAATTAAATTTTAAATAAAAAATCACCTACTTTTTTCATATATATTTTTTATTTTGTATCTCTTTCTCTTCTCTAAAAGGATATTATTTTATGTACTTTAAAAAGATAAACAACAAACCCTTATTTTACCTAGTACATTTTTTTTTCTTCTATTGCTATTACCTCATTTTACATTTGGGATATAGCTCTATTACGAAAATAAGTATAAATTAAGATGGTTTTTAATTTTGATTAAATAATAAAAAGTATATATGTAAAATTATACATCAATATTAATAATACGTTTATCTCAAATAAGTTGAGATAGGTGTGGTTCATGAACCCAAACAGAAAAAATAAACATATACACATATATATATATGCGCATGAATAAATATATTTTGTTTCGAAATTTTCCAAACAAATTGCAAATTGTTGTGGCTCAAGTTTTTAATCTGTTATAACTTAATATTGATCCTTATATTTTTTTTATTAGTTTAATTTTTATTATTTTTATTTATGTAAAACGAATTCATAGCTCACATAACTGACCGACAATTACTAGCGATTCTGGCTTCATAGGGGAGTTACAACCTACAATTCAAACTGAGGACGGATTTTTGAAGTTAGCTTCCCCTCGTGATTACTATTTATTTACAAAAAGAAAAAGATTATTATTTTTCATTAAAAAATATTTTTATAATTTAAATTAGGATTCATTTTTCTATAGATAAGTTATCTTTATTGAGTTCAAAATTAGTCTTTATTATTATTATTGTAATCATTTAACTTCAAAATGACATCATTTTGGAAATAAATACAGATAATTTATTTACATTCACTTTAAAAATATTAAATTCTTGAACTTAATAAGATTTAAGTTTCGAATATCAAACTTTTATAGCATAAAACTATGAGTAAACAACTACTCCTTTAACACGAGAAGTTGTTTGGGTGCAGCCTGCAGCACTCACATCCCACAAGGATTGAAACGTGTGATTTTCTTTTTGTTTTGTTTTTTCAAAATAACTATTGGACCCCACAAAAAAAATGTCTGCATGAAAAAAAACAACTTCTCTTCGAAGAGAGAAGTTGTTTACCCTAAAACTATAAACATTAGCATAAAACATCATATAATCGAAACTCAAATTACTAAATATTATAATGACTACTAGCAGCGGCGGAGCCGGGTTCAAATTTGAAGTCGAGCCAAAAAAATATATGTATTTTTTTTTTAAATTTTAGTTAGTTCATATCATAATATATTTAAATTATATTAAATACAGAACATATGAGCAAGTAGCATTAAGAAGAGTTATAATTTTATTAAATATTTTTTATTTTACTAAAAATAAAAAAAATTTATACAAGTGGAAATTAGACACAACCTAATACAACTTACCCAAATTTTTCATCAAAAATATTTTAAATTTTACATATGACCAAATTACAAATTGTAGCCCAGGTCAAATTACAATTTTAATCCGAACCAAATTATAATTAATTATATAATTATATATAATAAGTACAATTTGTTAAAATTTAACCCGGATCGAGACCCCACCGATAATACTTGTGGCTCCGCCACTGACTACTAGCATACATGGTCGATACGGTAGTTGTTGGAGGTCAATACCAGATCGTTCCAGATTCAAATGTTGGTAGAAGAAGCATAAGGACTAAAATTTAAAGTAAACGAACACAAATAAAACATTGTTTTGCTTATTGTAATGGTTCTTGACTTTGCATTGCTATGTGTGTATGTTGGTAAAAGCATTCGGTTCTTGTTTTGGACTAATTAAGTTGTTCAGATAATGTAAGCCACTCTTAGGAGTAAAGACACTGAATCATCGAATTTGCGTATTATAAGTCTCACGACTTGCAAGAAAGGAGAAATTCTACGAGGAGAAGAAATGAAGTGCCACTTACATAAAAGGGACTGATCCGTTTACAAATTTTTTTTACAATTACACTAATGTAGGACCGGTCGTACACTATGTGATTAATGTAGGACCGGTCCTATATAGTGTAGTTTGTAAGAGTTTGTAAACAAAAAAGTTTGTAAATATAACCTGCCCCCTACATAAAATGTGGGTGTAGCTTTAAAACTGTTTTTCATTAGCTTTTAAATTATCAAAAGGCTATTTTAAGAAGGGGTTTGATGTTTCTCATATTATATGAATTAAAATTATCACTTATATATATATATATATATATATATATAAGTGTGTGAAATCCATGTGGATTCATGTGTAAAAAAGAGAAAAAAAGAAAAAGAAAATACAACCCCACACATTTATATAAGTGTGTGAAATCCATGTGGATTCATATGTAAAAAAGAGAAAAAAAGAAAAAGAAAATACAACCCCACACATTTATATATATATATATATATATATATATATATATATATATATATGGATTTTATAAGAGTTATGTTGTAGGAAAAGTGATTATGTTATGTTACAGAGATTCGTTTTGCGTGCCGAAGTTTTTTTTTTTTATTGCGGGCCCCACAAAATGTTGTCTGTGTAGGAAACTTTTTGTGGTCATGTTAATTGATAGATGATAAACCCTATATATATATATATATATATATATATATATATATATATATAAATATATATATATATATATATATATATATATTGTTGGGTTTTGCTCTTTCACTATAGCTCAATAGGGTCGAAAGTGTAAGAAGTGCCCAAGAAACCTAGGGCTAGGGTTTCTTGGAACCCATATATATTCCACTCTTATAGTCATCAGCCTCTCTAGTCTTTACTTGATGGTTGTAGAGGCTGAGGTAAGGTCATCTCCCTGAAAGTGAGAGAGTGCACACACACTTCTCGTTTCCCCTTGAGACATAGTCTGGAAGATCTGCCACAGTCCAACTTCAAGGAGGTTGTTCGTGCTGCGGCGCTGAGGTGAGCAGTTCGTGAAAAGGAATCATACAAGGGAAGATTCTACACGAGATCTGCGCATCAAGAGGTAATCGTGAAACGAGGATGATTCGGTAAGCATACCAATGTACTAGGTCCTAAACCGCTTCCACATAAATCCAATAGCTCCTACATTGGTATCAGAGCCGGGTTGGGCTCGAGCTAGCCTAATAATTCGCTAGGAGGCGGGTTGAGTACTTTGCGCTTGGGGTACTCGGTTGAGGGAAGCATACCAATGGTGGGTTTCACACTTGAGGGGGAGATTGTTGGTATATTCAAGTGTGATGAGTCCCACATTGGTTGGTAATGGGCTAAGTGAAGTGTATATAAGTGGAAGGACCCATGAACCCAATGCCTTAAGATTTTGGGTTGAGACATGTGGTGTCGGACCCACTTGGTGTACTTGGAGTAACTTAGCTCATTGGTGGTGGGCCCCCGCCACAGGCTTCTCCTGGACCCTCCTGACATATATATATATAGGAGGAGATAATTTTATCTCCTACAACATAAAAGACTTAAACCTTTTTAAGACACATGAATGGTCCAAAGGAATTAATCCCCTTTATTAGAAGTATAATGAGCAAGAAGCTTATGTTTTGTAAGAAATGAAAAAATCTGAAAAGCAAGGATGACATGATAATTGTTACTTTTAAAAAAAATAAAATTGGTGATTCAGATCTACGGTAGTCCTCCCATTAAGGGAGAGACACTTAAATTTGTTTTTTTTTCTCTTCTCTCCTCACCAAATGAAATGAGCTCCGCGAGCACTTAAGGGTGCGCATGACAACCTTCTCGGAATCAATTCTTTTTTAGTTTCTGTTCCCAGGAACATAAATGGATAGGAAACTCCTTTGGTAAAACCGATTTATTTTTTTGTTCCCGGGATGAACCGATTTAATTTTTGTTCTGGGGAACAGAAAAAAGAATCAAAATATTTCTGCTTTTTTGTTCTCAGGCTCAAAATGAAAAACACTTATCTCTCTCAATCACTCTCCACATCTACCATCATCGCCACCACTACCATCATCCCGACACGACTGTCGCCACCATCGTCGTCGCCGCCATCGTACCACTAGTGCCGCTGTCACCACCCCTCACCACCACGATGTCACCGCCACCATTACCACCACCCCCACCCATCACTACCACCATGCCACCACCACCACAACTACAATCGCCGCCACCGCCATCAACCACCACCACCATCATCGCAATCATTGTTGTCATTGCCACCATTGCCATCACACGCCAGTGCCACCACCCTCATCGCCATCACTACCACCCACGACGCCGCCACTACCATCACTGTCACTGTCACCAATCACCACTACCATTGCCGCAACCACTACCGTATTCACCATCATCGCCGTCGTCGCCGCCACCATCGTCACAGCCATTACCGTTATCACTACCACCATCGCCACCATTACACCAACGCCACCACTACCATCACCAAGCCACTGCCACCATCACCACCACCACTGTCACCTACCACCACCGTTGCAGCCACTGTCACCACCACCATTATGATGCCTTCACAACCACCACCACCATGTCACTGCTACCATTGTTGCCGCCACCAACCACCATACCCATCACCATTGTCGCTGCCACTGCCGTCACCTCCACCACCACCATCCCCACCACTACCACCGTCGCTGCCATCATTATCACCACCATCGTCGCAGCCATTGCTGTCACAACCACCACCACTATCTTCTTCACGTCATTGCCACCACCACCATGAAAAACACCACCACCACCACCACCACCACCATCATTATTTCTGCTTTTTTGTTCTCAGGCTCAAAATGAAAAACACTTATCTCTCTCAATCACTCTCCACATCTACCATCATCGCCACCACTACCATCATCCCGACACGACTGTCGCCACCATCGTCGTCGCCGCCATCGTACCACTAGTGCCGCTGTCACCACCCCTCACCACCACGATGTCACCGCCACCATTACCACCACCCCCACCCATCACTACCACCATGCCACCACCACCACAACTACAATCGCCGCCACCGCCATCAACCACCACCACCATCATCGCAATCATTGTTGTCATTGCCACCATTGCCATCACACGCCAGTGCCACCACCCTCATCGCCATCACTACCACCCACGACGCCGCCACTACCATCACTGTCACTGTCACCAATCACCACTACCATTGCCGCAACCACTACCGTATTCACCATCATCGCCGTCGTCGCCGCCACCATCGTCACAGCCATTACCGTTATCACTACCACCATCGCCACCATTACACCAACGCCACCACTACCATCACCAAGCCACTGCCACCATCACCACCACCACTGTCACCTACCACCACCGTTGCAGCCACTGTCACCACCACCATTATGATGCCTTCACAACCACCACCACCATGTCACTGCTACCATTGTTGCCGCCACCAACCACCATACCCATCACCATTGTCGCTGCCACTGCCGTCACCTCCACCACCACCATCCCCACCACTACCACCGTCGCTGCCATCATTATCACCACCATCGTCGCAGCCATTGCTGTCACAACCACCACCACTATCTTCTTCACGTCATTGCCACCACCACTACCGTACTGCCGCCGCCACCACCACAACTAGTGGCAGATCCAAAAAATTAATGAAGGGTGGGCACTCAATAAGTTCAAGTACATATAGATATGGGTCTGGTCTGAAACGCGACTTGCGAGCAGATGCAGGCTGGCTGGGTCTGGTTTAGATCTAAATTTGGACAGATTGCGGCTCGACTGGACCGATGATGGAGGTAGAAACAAATGTTCCAACTTCTAATAACAGAGATTGAGGTTTGAGAGGAGATAAATCAGTATATAGATGCAAATGATGGATCTAGAATAGAGCTCTCTGCTGTTAGATTTGGATAATGAAGATGGAGGAGAAAAAAAACTCACAAGAAAATAAAATAGAATGAGGGAAATTAAAGGGGTAGGATATCGTAACAATCAACTAGGGTTACCACCAATGTTACTACCAATCAATTTCTCCGTTAAATCGATTATGTTGATCTAACGATTATATTTATTTCCATCATTGTATGATTATGATTTTTCATATTTTATATTTTATATTTATTTTCACCTTTGTATGATTATTATTTCCCATATTTAATGATTTTACATTAAATATGGGGATCATAACCCTACAAAATGAAAATAAATATAATCGTTTGATCAACATAATCGATCTAACGGTGAAATTGATTGGTAGTAACATTGGTAGTAACCCTAGTTGGTTATTACAATATCTTACCCCAAAATTAAATTGGAAAAATTTGATTTTTAAGAGAAGAATATTTTCATATTTTTGCCTCATATTTTAAGGGTGAGCACTTGCCCCCTTTCCCTAACACTTGGATCCACCTCTGACCACAACCACACCACATGGAAAGGAAAGAGTTGCTCCGAAATGTTTTTATATTTAATAGGAATTATTTTTTATTATATTATTTGTTGTGTTATCAAACACAATTCTCATTCTTTGAATAAAAATGAAACATGTTATCAAACACATTTTTTTCTCAGAAACTGTTCCAAGGCACAAAAATAGAAAAGAATTGTTTCTTTTCAGGAACAGTACTCGAGAATAGAATGGTTGTCATGCACACCTTAAATAAATCTCGTTACTTTCACATAAATGAAGGCATTATTTTAAGACTCCAGAAATGGAGAATACGAAAACACTTTTTTGAAGTTTTCTTATTCTGGAATAAAAGTTGTTTCAAAAAGTACATTAACTATTCTATAAATTTTCTTAAGTCCATTTTCCGTTTATTAACTTTGACAGACAATTATAATTTTGCTATTAAAGTAAAATGAACAAGAAATACCGTAATGTAATTAGGATTGACCCCAGTCCCTTACCATGCTCAATGTAATATGACAGTTAATTTTTAATTTCCACAGTATTATATTAAGAAGTAGGAAATGGAAAGCTTTATTCATTCTCCAAAAGTCCAAAACAAATGACTAAAAAAAATGTAAACAAACATATAATACGTGTCACATTATGTAAACAAACATATAATACGTGTCACATTATATATATATATATATATATATATATATATATATATATATATAATGTAATGTTTTGAATAATACAAGACAACAATGGCCATGAAACTAGCATGGCACATGCTAAGAAACTCATCTTACACCAAATGAACCTAATAATATCTCGTAATAGGTTGTATTAGAGCATTTCTCTTCTCCCAGAAAATTGCCAGGTGGAATTTGAACACACCAGAGTATAGGACCATTCATTATCTTACACCAGGTCCTGTTATTAGTTATATAATACCGATACCGACACAGGACACGTGACACGATACGACACAACACTCCGACACGTTAATTCTAAAAAATGTTAGATTTTGTTATAAAAAAAAAAAAAAATGTTAGATTTCGACACGTTAGGACACGTTTTGATATTAAATAATATTTTAAATTTATGTAGTGTATATTATATTTAATATTCGATAATTTAACAAAAAAATAAAACTAAACTTATAATATTCATCAATTTTGCAAAAAAAATAAGATATCCCAAATATTTATATTAAACTCATTAACATGGTAATCGTAATCCAATGAATCTAATAGTTGGAACTAAAAACTCAACGCAACGCAACCTTTAAACCTTTTTTTGAATTTCTATAATACGTGTTGGAGTGTCAGGGAGTGTCGGAGAATATCGGACACGACACATCAGGATTTTTGAAGTGTCGGTGCTTCATAGATTATTAGATACAGCCATCGTAACCACCCCTAGGAATGCAGGGATTAAAGCAAGTTCTCCTTCTCACATGGTACTAACTAGCTGACATAAATTACGAAGACAAATTGCATTGCTAAAAATAAAAATAAAAATAAAAGTATAATGCAAAATTTTTTATTTCATTCAAGTTCAAGATACATAAAATACAGTTCTAGAATACAAAAATACAACTTTACATCCATTGATGAATTGGTTTCAGAACTTCTTTTTGTACATCAAGTTTATCAGCAGAACTCTACAGCTGTAACCCCACATCATCCAAAACCTAACAAGACCGGAAGAAGGGGAAAACAAGAAAGGAAGCCTATCCTGTGTGTAACAAATGGACAAAAGTGGGAAGAGACAAAAAACCGTGTCTATTATCAATGTCACATGGGCATACATATTAGCAATCGTGGGTGACTGACATTAAAAAAAAATATCTATATATCAGACAATTTATAGAACATTACCAGTCAGCATTGTCATCACTCAACCATTCTTTGTAAGTGTTAGTTATGAACACATTACCAATGACCACTGCGAAGACAACACCAAAACTTCATTTCGATGTTGATGCACCTTTTGTGAGATCATAGACAGTGCGGAACCTAAGTCCAGAACCTATATGGTTTGCTGTAGGCCACAGCCAGCTTATGATATTTGGCCCCAAAACCTGCAGCAAAATTAAACAGAAGCTCAAACCTATACTTTATACATGTAGCACCCAAATTTTTTTAAATCAAAAAGAAGAAGAAAAAAAGAAAAGAGGGTAAGAAAGAGAGGCATTGCGAATTCTAATAATTAATAAAATCACCCATAAAGACATGCATACATATTTATTAACATATAAACACAAATTATAAGTTGGGGTTAAGAGGTATAAACTTTAATAGTACATACTACTGTTAAAAGCTATTTGGTCAGGAGTTGGATCATTGTCACCCCTATTCTTCTAATAAAAAGTTGAACTTCAGCAAATGGTAAAAATGAGTTTGTGCATTGTGCATCATCCTTCAAAGCATCGGCAGGGCTCACCATTACAAATTTTTTAATATAAGGAGCGGGGTTATGAAAAACAACTTATGGACCATTTTAGTCAAGTAGGCTTTGACCAAGTATCAAAGAATAATCTTAAGTTGTTAGCAGAGTAAAGAGAAATTCACGATGAATAAATATACCATATACAAAAGAAAGGGAAGCAATAGAGTCTATATTTCAAAAACCATTAATATCAACTGTTGTGAGAAAGAAAAACTATGAACCATAATTCTGGCTCCCGATGCTAGAATTTTCAGATCATCTATATATATATAAATAAAATGACCTAGCTTCTTATCAGTTAACACTATATAAGGCAATAATTAATACATAACATCCTACGAAACCCTAAATATATACATAGAAATAGTCAGTAAATGTAAATATCACATCACATGTTTCTTTATGCCAACAGAAATAACGTAACATATACAACAGAATAATTATGACAATTATGGATTCTTAGAAGTCTGTCCAAATTTCAAAATGTGAAAGGAGAAGAACTGTCAATAATAGTGTTAGAATATCTAGAATCTCTAGATGATATTGTATATTATTAAGATTATATCTTAATATAATTTAGAGTATCCTATATTTTCTTATATTTCATGATTTGTTTCCTTATTTTAGGAGCACCCTGTTTGGTATAAATAGGGATTAATGCTTTGTCTTCTGTATCACATCAATATACAATATCATTCAGTCTTCTTCTTTTTCCTCTATCTATGCCTGAATCCCTATAATTTCAACAAATAGTATCAATCAAATGTACTTCAGTCGAAGTATATTCAACCCTACCTAATAATGGCCAGCATAATCAGTGAAAAAAGTTAAACCTAAATATAATCAGTAAAGCCATCTCATATAATCAAGATGAAGCAAGAGCAGAAAGAAAAATGACCAAATGAACGAAGTTCATGAAGAGAAAAGAGAAGCAGGATGGGAGAAAATGGAAGCAGCGGCATAGTCTTCAGTTCTTACAGATGTCAAATTCTCATATGGGCCAAGGTCATACGGATGTTTATAGATACTCCCACCTTTCTCTGCAAGCCATAAAGCTCTCACTCCTTCATGATACTGTCAACACAATTGCCTAATTTAGAAAGTGGATATCTGTCTGGTCAAATAAAATAATCGTTTTGAACTAACATATAATAACCTCTATCGTGGTCTTGTTATGTAGGATGAGATAGATATGCCATCCTAAAAGCACACATAATGCTATAGATATGGGGACCAGCAAGAGCCCAGAAACAATCTGCCAAAAAAATAATTTATGAGAAAACAAATGGTTGATTTTACTTAAGTAAAATACATTTTTGTTTTCAACAGAACTTACATATACAGTTCTGAAAGAGCCACCATTTTTCTCTTCATCCTGTATACCCTCATAAGCTAGACTGCCCACAAGTAAGACCTACAAAGTTAAGTGATATTCAAAACAAAAATATTGTTAGTACAAGTAGAACCATCAAATCTAGCACTCCATTAAGACAAATACAGAAAGGAAGAGGAAATTAGATCAGGCCCAGATTTCATTCATGCAAATACAACTTAAAAGAAAACTCTTAATCATAATTAAAAAAAACTCATGCAGATAATAAGATATTCAAACATACCAGGGAGTAGATGCACGCAATTACAGCATACATGACAAAAATGAAGAAGACCTTATAGTTTGTATGGCCCACGCAGTTATTTATCCAAATGCAGTGGTGATCCTTACAACCAAGAGCCAACATTTTTTGTCATTATCCAGAAAATCCAAGATAAACCATGAATGCTAATTTGGATCATGCATACCATTCGTAGAACACATCTTTTACAAACCCGGCAATGATGTGCACGGGGAGGCTTATAGTGAGAACACTTTTGGCAATATCGCAAATCCCCACCCTGTTTGCAGTTCCAAAGAAATATCGCACCAAAGTTAATTTTCAAGGTGTTCAACATATATAACCACATATTTTTGGGAATTACTGGAAGATTAGAAATGTACTTTTCCATTCCTGCCAAATGATTAGTTCAAATAAATTGTTAAATTAAATACATGCAATCATTTCCAGACCATAAAGATTCACTTAAGAACCCCCCCCCCCCCCCAAAAAAAAAAAAAACTAACTTCAAGGATTCCACAGGTTTGATGCAGTTTATAAGCACATTGATCATAAAAAGGCAGAAAGACAGGACAAGGCTAGGCCAAAGACCGATCATGTTTGAATAAAGGATACAAAATGGTTTTTAGTTAGCATACATTAACATCAGCATCACCTTTATCCCAAACTAGTTGGGATCAGTGGCAGATGAACCCAAATGAAAAGTACGAAAAAAAAATACTCTTTCTCATTTGAGAAGTGAAGGGAGAATAAAGGATATCTGAAAAAGGGAAATTAAGCAACTTATGCATAACCAGAATAATTGTAAGATGAATAACCCAGGAGATAAAGACCCTATAGTATACTACTCAGGCTGGAGACATATGAAACCAGAAGATTCAAACTTGACACAACTATCAAAATGTATGTGAAAAAAAAATCCTTTCACAGATGGAGGTGAAAACATACAGAAACCCTTCTTTTTCATCTGAGCCTCTCATCCTCTTGGCTTTGGCAAAAGAGAAGCAACAAAGCAGAGAAAACCAAAACAAGCTCAGCTCAAATTAGCCAGACTCATAAACTCGCCTTCAAACTAGCAATTTTACGTGAGTTTATGCAAGTTTGATTGATTACACCCAACTTTATTAATCTACAAGTTTTGAGAGTTAACACAATTCCTTATCTTAGGACTTATGATTGTAAACTCACAAGTTTTTGATTCAACTCGAGAATTTAACAACTATGTAAATGACTTTGTGATTAATGGATAAAGACAATCTCTTCTAAGGGAAGACAACCATGTATATTATAGTCTACCTTGATGTTCATTTTCAAGTGGCTTATCTTATAGTATAACAAATCCAAATAGAAAGCAATTAGTGAAGCTTAGTGAAAAAACAAACTAACACTCATCCATGTCTTCACATCTAAAGGAAAGAGTTTTCCATTTCATCCTATTCTATTGCAACATTGGGCAGTTACCCGTCCAACTTTACCCGTCCAACTCTTCATAAGATAATTGCAAGCTGTATTAAATCCCTGAATTGGTTGTTTCTGATTGAAAAATTAAAACTACTAAGTGCCTTAAGATATTGCACAGAGTCAACTTCTTTTTTTCCTCCTTCTAGTTTCTCGTGTTCCATCCTCTATAAAGAATTAAAAATAAATAAAATAAAAGCAATATTGTACTATGCAAATTAAAATGAGTAGGTTCCCAGGAATTACATTCCACCAAAGCCAGCATATTTTCTAATGGCAATGCAAGTGTCATATAAACAGGATCCAAGATGATGAGCAGGCACCATAAGTTAATCATCTAACCACTTGATTATTCATTTTTTTAAATAAAAAATAAGCCAATTTAAAAAAAAAAAAAATTGCAGGAGAAAAAAAAATTCACTTCCCATGAAACCCAAATTTGCGAGGGTAGGACGAGGAAAATTCTTATATACAGTCTTACCCTAACATTATTTTGGAGAAACTGTTTTCTAGATTTTAATTCGTGATCACTCAGTCATCAAGGAGCAACTATATAACAACTCCAGGCTCGACCTCTTAGTTTACAAAAGAATAACTACAAATTTTTAATTCCTAGCCCATATCGAAATCATTTTCATTCCATCTTAACTGTCATAGCAGATTAAAAACATCATTCATTCCAGGCAAAGTAGGACCACACTTTTAAGCTTTTCATATGGAAAACTATTATGATGACATAACACCAACCTTTCTTGAACTACAATTAAAATTCATAAAAGTCTGTACTTTTGAGCCTTAACAACCATAACCATAACCTAGATCAGATAACCTGTTGCCTTATTTGCAGCAACCATAGAAACCCTCAAACAAACAGAACAGAAGTGACAGTTTTGGAATATCACTTAACTATTCATCTAATAGTGAAGCTCGTTCCACCAAAAATTTAAAATGTAGCCCATTAAATGTCCAAGAACCCTAATCTTGTAATAGCACTTCACCATTTAAAAACTAAAGTGATGGATGCTTCATAATGAAACGGCAATTAAACAGCAATAGCTGCAAAATGTCACTCTTTCTGCTAGCTGTTGAGTGCTGATCATCAAATGAAGATCACAATAAACCCATCATGAAATTCAGCTAAATTTTCACCACAAGAGATTACAAGTACCCGAAATGCAACATAGAAATAAAGCATACACCAACATGAAACATAAAATAAAAAAATAAAAAAAATCAACAATACATCAAATTAAACGACATGATCATGATGAATAAGAAGAAGAAAAGAAGATAACATAAATAAACAAATAAACTTGGTTCTCATAAAAATGCGATCTTGTTCAAGAATTAAAAACCAAAACTACAAAAACATAGAAAAACCCAACAACACTGAAACAAAGTTAAGTGTTACCTTGCGCTTGATCTCGTGGATGGGGCTTTCGCCGTCTTCGACGTCGGGCATGTAGGTGGAGGGGACCCGACCCGGATCCGCGGAAATGGCGGCGCGGTAGGTGAAGACGCACATGGCGGCTAGGGCGGTGAAAACGACGCCGTTCATGATCCCTGGGGAAGAGAAAAGGCCGAACCAACGGTCGATGAAGACGAAGACGGTGGAGAGGTAAATGTATGTGATGGCCAAAACGACGACGCTCACGGGAAACGAGAACTTGAAGCGCCGCTGCTGCTGCAGCAGCTTCGTTTTCTCGGCCATGGCGGCGGAGGCACCGGCGCTTCCAAAACGACGGTGTCTCCGGTAATGCGCGAGAAAGAACGCTTTGAATTGGAAGGATGGTGATGATGCGGATAACGACGAAATGTTTTGTTAAAACTTACAACAACAAATCTTAATGATGCCGTTGTCTTTAATTTTACTCTATTGATGGAAGGGCCTTTTGTTTTTTCAGTTTTTCTTATGCTATTTTTTTTTGATAGTATATTGTTACTAAATTAGTGTTACTGTTAGTGTTATTATCAATTTATTTGTTTTATTGTTTAGATTGAATATGTTGAGCAAACGGTTTTGATTTAATTTTTTAACAATCTTCTTCATTCTCTTAATATTTAGTACTTAATATTTATTTTCACTTTTTTATAGTTATAATTTTTTATATTTAATATGAAAGCATTAAATATGAAGAATGATAAATAACTATACAAAAATAAAACTAAATATAATCGTTAGATCAACATAATTAATTTAACGATAAAATAAGTTGGTAATGATATTATTAATAACACTAATTGATAGTAACAATATTTTTTTTTTTTCTCTAGTTTTTTTGTTTCCTCTCATGTAGCTATAAAAATATATATGTATATAAAAAGAAAGAAATCGAGATGAAATATAGTGAAATATATCTTAATTTGAATCTCGACAGATGTATGGACTTGGAAAAGCGAGAACAAAAGAAGAACAGTGAGAGACGCCAAAATCTGAAGTCATTAAAATTAGTTTAGTCTAAAATGTATTTTCTTTTTTTATAATATATATATATAGAGGCAGGATATTCTTACACCAGTGTAAGAGTTAGAAGTCTTACAATCAATCTTGACCATTGATCCACTTGTATCGAATGGCTCACATTACTAAAAAATTTGAACCATTAGATATAAGTGGAATCAGCGGACAAGATTAAGAGTGTAACTTACACTGGTGTAAAATGATCCTAACCCATATATATATATATGTGTGTGTGTGGGACATGTTATTTTTACACAAGTGTAAGATTAACAAGTCTTACATCACATCTTAACCGTTGATGGATAGAAATCATCGATTAATATTTGTAATGTAATTAATTATTAATTAATATTAATTAATTCGTATGACTTCCTAAATTATAACCGTTGGATGTACGAAAATCAACTACTGAGATGTGGTGTAAGACTTATTAATCTTACACTGATATGAAATAATCCTGATCCTATATATATATATATATATATATATATATATATATATATGGGTTAGGATCATTTTACACCAGTGTAAGTTACACTCTTAATCTTGTCCGCTGATTCCACTTATATCTAATAGTTCAAATTTTTTAGTAATGTGAGTCATTCGATACAAGTGGATCAATGGTCAAGATTGAGTGTAAGACTTCTAACTCTTACACAATTGTAAGAATAACCTGCACCTATATATATATATATATATATATATATATATATATATATATTAAAATAAATTTTTAACTTCTTTTTTCTTTTAATTTATATATATTAATTCTTATTTTAAATTATTAAAAAATATAAAATTGATAATTTTAAATTATATATATTATAAGAGAAATGTTTTTCTCAAGTTACATAAAACTTTTTATCTCATGTCACAGACACATCACAATCCGAGCCAATATTTCTTTTTCTTTTTTCTTTTGTTTTTAATCGTGAGACCCACCCAATTATGTCTCTACATGAGATAATACTATCTCATGTAGCATGAGAAAAGCATTGCCCATATTATAATACATACAATGACATATAATACATAAATTATAATGATGATTGGTCATACTTCGAGCAACATTCTAGATGTTGAGTGTATGACTTGTGATTGCATTTCGTAATGATATTGAAAAAATATAAAATGAAACAACAAAACATGTTTCGAGATTGGGCATCATGGCATTACGGGATATAATATTTCTCTAAACAATTTTTCTCACACATTTCATCAAACACAAGAACTTTCGAACAATTGGAAAAAACAATTACAGCCATAGATCATAAAAGCAATGTTCTCCCAAAGCAATACCAGCCTTAGGCATAAGCAAGCAAATTACCTAAATCACTAACTCACTTTTAGTTGTCTATTTAAATTGCAACTGACCTAGGAAAAAAAATTCCATTTTATATGTGAACAACTTAATTTCCAACAGTTCGGAACAAATGTTTACTGATGAAAATCATTTACTTAACCAATGGTGATACCCCAAAATCATTCACTTATTGTGGGATTAAAAATTAAGGATGTATATGGGTCGAATTAAATTGAATTTTTTAAAAAATTGCACCGAATTGATTTAAACAGTTCTGTTCAGTTCGAAAATGATTTGGTTTGGTTGAAAATAATTCGGGTCGAAACCAATTCGGGTCGACCCTATTCTGACAAGAAAAAAAATTAAAAAATAAAAAATAAAATAATAATGATCAATTCGATTCGGTTCTTGAACTAGTTTTAAAATTCAGTTCGGTTCATTAAGTGGTTCTTTAAAACCACTTCGGTTCATGAACTAGTTTTGAAAAATTGATGATTTTAAGTGCAATTCAATTCAGTTCGTGATTCAGTTCAATTTTTTAATTATTTTTCACATCCATATTAAAAATTACCTCCCAAATCCAAATCAGACCACTGGTAATCAATTGCAGCTTTGACTTACAAACAACTACTGTACCACTCTCCATTCTCTTCATTTTATGAGTTCTCCCAACTCCACTCTTGCCCTCTAACTTCAAATTTTTTTTATCATATTCAGTTAATCTAAAATTATTTTCACAAATAAATATTTAACACTTTCATAAAATGTTCTATGCAAAGTATAATTTTTCATTATTTTTTTTAATAAAATAATATTTGTACACAAATATATAAGTAAAAATGTAAACAAAATTTTAATATAAATAAAAATTTAGTTTTACTATCCTTCCCAAGATTCGTTGATAAAGGATGTCATTAAATTAAGATTTTCTCACCAAGAGTCATAATAGGACCATTCCTCACTGGAACTCTATTAAAACTAAAAAGAGCGATGGAAAAATTATATTCATACTAGTATTGAACAACTACTGTTATATATTTGAAAGTTAAACAATTGATTTTCTTTTACTACTATTGTTATAATAATATTTGTACTTATTATTATCCACAAAACTACCAATGTGAGCTTTATACTGTATGTTTCAATGCAAATTTGGATATACAACATGTTATACATCAATAGAATTTTTTTTTACTAATGCTTAGATGAAATTCTCTGTTGAAACATATTATTATCGCTGAAAATTTCATTTTTACTTATATTATGTTTATATTTTTATATTTATAAATATATATATATATATATATATATATAATAAAAATTTTGATGAAGGAAAAAGTTCGGCTCGCTAAGTATAATCCAACCCACTAAATTATAAGGTTTTGTGGGTTATGGCTAAAAAAGACCATACCTCAAAAAACCTTAATGGTTTAGGGTCAAATATAAGACTTTGCAGGCTAGCCTGCAGGCTTCAATCCATTTTGTAGCAAGTCTGAAGACTTAATGAGATAGCTCTAGTCTTGAATAAATGCATGGATCATGGGTTGTTTTGTTGCATATGTGAACTGTATTGATTTCCTTATGTAGTTCCTTATGACTATACGTGACCAACTAGCATGTAAACGACTATGCATGAGCCTGCCATGAGATTTGTAGATGTTTAATTGCACTTGGATGTATTTTGGTACTTGTAATACATGTTGAATTTGTACGTTAAATATATTTTTGCACTAACTACTGCAGTTGATCATTTGCTTGAGTTGTAATGTGTAACCACCCATGTCGACGTGGGCCTTCCAAGAACAATATACTCATTGGTACAATTTCTGGCCATAAATTTATATGGACAAGCTAAAAGGATTCATCATCTTTGTAAAGGATTAGTTGTCGACAAGAGACCAGAGGGACTCAAATAATTTCTATAGGACTTGAGAATCTATACAAGAATAAGGGGTTAGGAAGGAGTTCATGGATCCTATTTTATAGAAGAAAAATCCTAATTTTGGAAAAGCTTTCTATCGATCATTGAAGAATTATATGGTTTTCTTGCCCTTGACCGAAAGGTGTATAACAAGATGAAGCTATAGATTGGCACAAGAAAAAAATGAGAATAGTAGATCACTTTATCTTTCATTTAGTTTTGGGGGCACAAAGTGTTGCTAGTACTTTGTGTGCATTAAATGAGTTGGACTCATTAAAGGAGTTTAATCATATCAAGTTTAATCATGTCAGTGACTAAATGGGCCTATTAGGTCACACACATATCTTGTTTAATAGCATGAACTATCATATGGTTTTAGGCATATATTGTATATTGTGGATCTTGCATGATAAGATCAAGCAAGAATGACAAACGACATGTGTTTTGAACACTTGGGCTTGGACCCATATAGGCACAAGATAACTAGGGCTATGAGGTGCTAGTTACTTGCTCCAATACCCTAATATAATTTGATGAGAACAAATCTTATTTTGAATTTAAAATTTGAATTAGTTAAGGAATTTGGTGAGATTAAAACTTTTCCCAGTTTAAGTTTTGAATTTGACTTTGGATAGGATAAAAATTTGATAAGATATTATCTTAAGTTTAAAATTTTAATCAGTCAAAGGTTTGATCTTGATTTAAATTTTGAATTTGATTAAATTTAAGATTTGATGGGATAAAATCTTATCTTATGTTTGAAATTTGGAATTTTAATAAGATCACATCTTATCTTAATTTACATCTCAAGTACCATAGTTTGACTTGGTCAAACCCTTAGCCAAGATAAGGTAGGTAGTGCACGGTTTTTGAATTTAAACTAGGGGTTTTATTAATGTTATGTGACATGATATAAGTGAGTTTTCCAACACACACAATAATGGAGAGAGAAAAGTAGAATGATGAAAGAGAAAGAAAAATATGTGGACCCCACCTCTTTAATGTGTGTGTAGGAAAGTGAAGTTATGTTATGTAAAATAATAAACATAAAACCCTTAAACTAGATATGATACA